GTGGTTCTTTGAAGGAATTGTCACTAGTTATAATGAATTGATATTAAAGATGAATACTAAGTGAAGTTAATTATACCAACCGGTATCCATACAACGTGTTTTTCTAGACTTATTTATAGATCAAACATTGTACACGAAAATAGGTGACGCATTCTGCCGCGGTTGCCGAGTTGGTTGCTCATGAAATATGGGTCAAAGTGAAGGATTCATAAAGAAAATCAAAATAAACCAATTTTAATTATTTTGTAGAATATCTGAGGAAACATCTAAGACATAAACAAATTTTCGTTTTTTTAACTTCGACGAAATTCGGTGTTGAATCCTTATATCCACTAAAATAGGTTACACCACTGTACTACTATGACACAAAAATAACCCATATGGAATTAAAAATTTGTAGGCTACATGATTTTTATCTAGTTGGCCTATTTAGTTTAGAAGATTTTTAACTTAAAACATTTCGATTATTAATCGATTATTAATCGTTGGCATGCTGTCGATAAAGATCTCAATTTGGTAATCAGTACCTATATACTTGGTTTCCAACAGACAGTAAACGCAGAAAGCTACAAATTTACATAGTATTACATTAATTGTGGTCTGAAATCTTTGTAAGATGGTCTGATGAAAAATGTCAAAATAATATGTCAACAAACATGGACTTACCAAGATGACAAAAACAACCACTTTTTCTACTCGACTTCTCTTTGATGTCATCAACTGATAGTAAAATTATACATTCATCTTACATTTCGTTGGAATCAATTTATTTCACAAGGATAACTCGAAACTTTTTGGAATATTTCCCGATAAACTTCGGTCTCCAAAGACGCTATTTTCAATTCTCGTTGAAATCGAGAATGTTCGAGACTAAAGGGAAGTAATGTTTTCATTTCAATAAATAGACCACAGACCACAATAAAGTATTTTGCGGCCCAAAATTGCAGATATTTCAATATTAAGTCTTATTGGATTTTAGTTCTGGCAGAGATTTCAAAATTGAAAAATTATTATAGAAAACTGCTATTTTACTACATGAAACAAGCCATGTTTGCCAAAAAAAGAGCAGCGACTATCTCATGTGTTTTTAATGCTTATAAAAATAATAGTTATGTCCCTTTGATTGGCAATGGTAGGGATGATTCTTTCTAGGATAGGTGAAGACAGAAAATTTCCCTATGCTCTCTTTCGACGCGAAAAAGGAGACAATGGGCTGATATAGGTGCAACCATGTTCCCCAATTCTATTATGGTAATAACTACTTTTACCAAAAAATGCTGTTGGCTACAAATTCCTTATCTAAACACACCTGAGGTCACAGGACTCCCAATTCAAAGACATCACTACAAATTTTAAGAGGGGGTTGAGGGCAGAAGCAAATAAAATACGTGATCATTGACATGAACTTTATATTTAAGTTCCATTTCGCATGGCGATCGAAAGCACAAAGCTAATCTCTAACAAAGAATGGATTTCAATGCCTCCCCCCGAAAATATATATTGCCCCATGAAAAAGAAATTCTCATAACCGACAAATTACATTTCTGCAACTAACCACCAGACAACATTGCTCCTCCGGATATATTACATGTCTTTCAAATAATCAAGTCTGGCTACGGGCTTGGTTCGGAGATAGGCCGGGGCTAACTTTTGGCCAATATTAAAATAGTTATAATCATATAACACGATAATAAAAGCGTCAGACAGATGACCATACCATCATAGTTTTAAGTCAGCAGGATCTTGTTAATTAGGCCACGAGAGAGCCAGGTTAATGTGGCATAACATCCTCTTCCGATTAATCGCCGGTCTTTTACAATCACTGTCGTTGTAATAATCATCAATAATATATTATATACCTATAGCTACAACGCAGTGGATTTTTACCACCCTCCCGAGGACAGATTTATTTCAGGTGGTGTCATCTGCATTCTTTTTATGTATGTCATCATATAAAATTGCATTGAGTCCCGAGAAATGCTGCGTCAACCAGCAATATGTAAATGAATGAAATAGCAATAACGACAGACTGGAAATATCTAAATCTTCCATAAACAGGCATTAGATTGAATTTTGTGTAAAAAAAAAAACATTCCCGGTAGAGGGGCCCCAAACCAATTAAGTCTATGGCCCTTCACCCACTGTAAACTTAACTATTTTAAGCAGCAAAACTTTGATATATCAAGTGGACAACATGACAAAGGTGACTGACACATATGGCCAATGATGATGTCTTTGATCAACATACAAGACAGGTAGGCCTTATTAAGATATTATGTAAACTGTAAATTGAAAGTAGAGAGATTTATTTCGATTTTATTGATCTTTATGTACACTATTAGAATTTCAATTATATCTCCAGACTTCTATTGTAGCTATAAATAGTAACATTATTAGACACAGCACCGTTTCACATTTTCAATGATTAGAGAGCCTATTAATTATTTACAGTTGACATTAGATAGGTTCATTAGGTGGTAAGAATGATACGTCTCAACTGATACATAACAATGATATGGTTATCAAGTCATCATTCTATATATAGAACTATCTGATTGGTTCTCCTCGGGCATTGCTTTCGTGATATGGGTGACGAGCATGATAGGCTATCAATATCTTGAGTATGCTACTTAATTATCTCTACAATTTATGAGTCGTTTAATCCACTGATACAGCTGATAGGGTTAGTAACGGAGTCAAGTATCATTTCATGGGCACTCAAAGATGATCTCGCCGACAAATTGGATAGCAATAATATCTGGATCTAGATCCCTGGCTCAAAATCGTTTGGGGGTTATCTGTAAAAAATGTGTTTTATAAAAATCATATACCATAGGGTATTAGTAAATAGTATTTAAACAACTGATACACGAGAAGGTCCCATGAATATAATCTCTGGAGGATGTGGGCGCTTCATAGTGTATCGATAACCATTCTGTAAGAAACCCATATCCCGGCGATATGAACCACGTCAAGAGAAGCGCGAAGATATCTCGGCTCTTCATACTTAGTGATAGGTTTTTCAGATGTACAATCCTAGAGATGGGTTGGGGGAGGATATTATACCAGAGTGAAAACTATTCCGGTATACATGCATGTTTTCATCAAAGTTTGCTTGAAAATGTGCTGACAATCCAGGTGTTTGAGGAGTAAAGGCCTAATTATACTGAGCGCGACTGCGACCGCGAACGCGACCATTGCGACTTTTTGCGCGACCTTCCGCATGGATCATCGTTCGCATTGAAGCGGCGTTATGCCCGTAAATTCGCTGATGAAACGAGCTCAGAGTTAACTGGCAGACAGGTATGAACTTTGACCTTACACCCTGATTGGCTAATGTAAATAGTTCGCGCGGTCTTTTCTCAAAAATTCACTCTGGAGGCAATCTCCGCGGTTTTCCGCGCGAACAGAAATTTGGCCGCATTCGCGTTCGCCCCAAATATAAACGATCTCATACAAAATCAGGTTAAGCAATCCAATGCGAACGCCGCGGTCGCGGTCGTAGTCGCGCTCAGTATAAACGGACCTTAGAGGCTTGTTTGAAAATGCGTTATCATTCACACACAAATTATAAACGGCTATTGAACTGTCCATAGGGACAGTTGAACCAATTTCACGCGCCCCTTCCCATAGGGTGGGGGGAGAGAGAGGAGAGAATATGTATAAAAAATATTTCCCACAGGAGTTGCCTCAGCCCACTTCTAAGGCCCACAGATTCCCACTCATCTCAAATTTATGTCTGTAGAGCAGCAACATTTTGTGACTTTTGTCCTTTGTCAAAATATGGGAATTTTTAAATTGTGATCTAGGTGGCTGGTTGGAAAACTAACCCATGTACTAGCTATAGAGTATTTTCGAGATTTAAATCTATGGTATTTCAAGAAAACGAGGAAGATTTCAATCGAGGAAGAAGGACATCGACGAAAACCGAACGTGATTTGAATATCCTATACCAGACTACACGACAAATGGTTGTATAACAACACGGCATGTTCAATTAACTTATAATCTCCTTGAAACATGGTTTAAAGGATCTCTTTCCAGTAGATATTCCAGAAATATATCTGATTACCTCCAGCGTAGCAATCTAATGACAGTATTGCAGCTCCATCGTGTTTATATTCACGGATCATAGCTTTTCTTGGCATTTTGAACTTTTTAACGTATGAATTGTATGATTTCAGGAAATCTGAATGGTTCTGATCAGCAACAAAACTAACCATTCAGGGATGGTCGATCCGGGGTACGGATAGATGTTCACCGGACAAATGCTCACCGGGAGCGCCAAAATCTAGGTTCAATTTTCAGATGATGATTGAGTATTGAATTACCGCAATTGTCAGCTTTTGCACTGCTTTTCTGAGTGCTAATGCCATTTCTTTCACCGTGGTTCTAATTTATCTCAGATTCCCCCTTTTATTCCTACACAATATCTCGTATCAGGTCAAACTTATCACTGTCACATTCTTCTTTTCAATTTTATATCGTTCATTATTCCTACCCCGAAGGCATGAAAAGATTCCGGGAATTTTTTAATCGGGGTTCTTCACAAAATCTTGAAATTAAATATCGAGGGAAATTAATGTACGCTAGAAAGCAATAATGGAATTCAATACATGTCAATTTAGAAGCTCTTCGTTTGATTAGGCACATCCGGTTTAATATTCTCGCACCGGATATTACGACTTAGCCTCATTTCCGGGATATGTGCAGTGGATTAATTTTTCATTTAGATTAGGTGGCTTTTTAAACCAGAGATATTAATACCAAAGCTGTTGACTCATCTGAAATCCGAAAATGAAATTCTCCGAAATTTATCTGAATCTTCATCTGCAATATCAGCTTCCTTAGATTAAGCATTATTAAAGAGATGCTTAAGAAGCTTCTCTTTCGGAACAATTTTGCTATTTACAGTATTCCGATATTTTAGCCAACGTCTGTTGTTCCTACGGAAATCTTGACCAATGAAAACTTCACTATTGAAAAGTCAAACCATAGGAATGGGATTTCTTTGGGACATAAGGTAAGCGACGAACAGAAATGACGTGTGAGCATTAATCAGAAATGCTTGAAAATTGAGGGCATGTAGAACTGTAAAAATTGTCCAAGGAAGAAGCTTTACTGAAGAACATCCATGTTCTCTATAGAGGTTACTAACAATGAGTGTCTTTCACTCAGTATCTATGAAAGCGGACAGCAAACCTAACCAAGTGCACTTTCGAACATTGTAATAAGTTCCTGTTGTCAGAATATGTGCAAACACCAAAATCTCATCCTTTGTGTAACTGCATTGCAAAGTTCATGTACCAAAGAGGCGTATTAACATCTACAACTATGATGTTTTCGGACCATCATCGCCTTACTTATACTGAGCCATTGCGGTTATTTCCAGACAATGTCCCTCGTTGGGTATTGGGAGTTTATTCCCCTTGTATCAAAAAATTGCGAAGGACGGTTTACAGCAATAGTTATAGTTTGACAAGTAATTTTGTATAATCATCGTGTTTATCTTTTGATGTCAAAATAAAACATTAAAGGATGCATCCACCATTTTATTTTGTTCCTCCATCGAAAACATCCCTTTAAAATGAAAAAGTGAAAATAAGAAACCGTGCTAATCTCTTAATGTCTGATGAGTTTAATAACATAAATCCGAGGGTTGTTTTAATCTCATTTTTCAAGAGCTAACAACAGTATGTAAGAGGAAGGTTGGGGGTCGATGGAAATGGGTTACTCGAGGAGAATTTAATTATTATATTGTCTACATTTCACAAACGGCAAACATAAAAGGGATTATTTGATAGCAATGTAAAGGTTTATTGATTATGACGTTATAAAAGTTCTTTTGGTGAGGGCTATAGCCTAGTAGAATAGAATGTTGTGGCATTACGTCATTTAATTGGTCGGTTATGTTTCAGTCTTAAACCTGTTCATGACTCAGCGTAGTCGATCTGAATCATCATAATTTTATTACATGTATATTGAAGCATTTCAGAAGGTGGAATCCGTTCATACAATAAAGATTGTGGTTTTTCATAGGCGAATGACAATCCATCTACATACGGAGTTTATTGTATATACTCAGCTACTCTGGACAGTTTTCCAGTAAAATATGTTGCAGAGCAATAGCAAAACTGTCACGGTGGACAGTTTGTTTCATTTGGGGTTGCCTTGTAGACCTGCAACAGGAAACTGTTATAATACACATCAGGGGCCTTTTTCTCGAAAAAAAAAAGATTTTAGTCTTCCGGTGCTTTTATTGGTCAACCACTTACCGATTTTAAATTGAGTTCAATCAAAGCCCTGGAATTTTGTAGGCCTACAATCAGTATATATGCTTCCTAAGCAAGGATTTGTTTCCGAAAGCCTATTTACATTCAGTTAAGTTTGTGAATACGCTAGAAATAATAGATTATTTAAATCAACTTTCCCAAATGACCAGTACCATCCCTGATAACATAGAATCAATGTAAATGGTATGGGTTGAAACAGACGCTAATTGAAGTTAATGAAATGATGGGACACGACTAATAATGAGGTAATCAAATTATCACCATCTTATCAATAATCTATTCAATATCCAGCTCATCTAATCTCATCTTAATTACAAATAAACTCAATGAGGAACGCCGTAATTAGCCCATCTAAATACATTTACCATATTTAGATCAGACTCTTGTAGCATCAAATTGGACAGCTTGTTGTCAAAGAAATCTACAAAAAATTTTATATTTTGTATAATTTTTGTATGGTTGCTCGTATTCATAATGTGTGTTCCTAGTTACACAACACACCTTCAAAATGGTTACGTGCATGTGTGTTGACTGTTCGGTTTGAAAATCCGGACCAAATGATTCTATTTCCTGTAATGGTCAAATGTGGTAAAATGTACGCGTCTTGTGTCCCCATATATGATTGATATTAGATATATTGCAAAGCTGTTCTTTTTTATTTAGGGTTTCGTTTACAGTTCGGATTGTTAGTAGGCCTACTCTTGGTTTTTATTAACACATTCTCCCCATTTACGCAATATAACTCCTTATACAAAAGACCTAAAATTCCCATATTTCGGTTCGTTTTTTTCTTTTTTGGCTGATTAGGTGTAAAACTCCACACCAGATTATTTCTCGGCCTTTCATACTTGGGTATTGTGGAGTTATCGGTCATTTGGTTCACAATTTCTAAAACATATAATACCTTGGAATTTGACATGAAAAAGGCCGGCTAAAGTTATATAGACTTACGAATTTACCTGAAATTTTTCTTAAACAAGTTTCAACATCCCAAGTCATTATTTTGTGATTGCAAATCAATTCATAAAAAAAACATCGACTAAGTGCAATGTAAGCTAACTTCCTCTAGATAGAATGTCATGTAATTGTAATGTAATGGCATGACGATATGTCCTTAGCTGTCATATGTTATAAACAATGTCATATCACGTGCTGGAATACCAAGTTCTAGGATTTTTCCATGGAGTTCATGAATTTCCATAGCAACTTTTCCCTAAATATGTCCAGATTTTACGAGCAAGCGTATTGAAACAGGTGTGAAAGTGCCCCGCCCACCCCCGCAAATGACAAATAACAGAGTCCCATAATGCATTGGGATTTAATATGGCGATACAAGTATAACTGTCATTAAAACTTTGCTACTTAATTTGACTGGATTATAAGTGAAATTTTTATTGTGGAAGTACAAGCTAGTTGTTTGAATCTGTGAGTATTTTTCATGTCTCTATTTTTGTGATTTTCAGATCATGTACGTCTTGTGATAGTCTTAATATCGAATATAAACAACCGGGCAATATCGGTGATATACCACACTGTATATACCATAGTATATATATACTGTACGTTGTGTATATACACAGAAGATTATCGATAAGGTAAGATATTGTGTTTCATGTTAGTATACTCTACATTGCCATGTGGAATCAGAGATGTCATCATCAATAACTGACATATTTTAACATGAATTCTCGGTTGTCATCAAAATACAGTATATTGGTGCCTCAAAATACCTTATTAAAGGTAGCCTCTTCCCATAAAAGTTAAAAAAAAAAAACATGATCAACAATCATTGTGCAGATAATTATTTCGTAAAGAGAATCTGCCAAATCTTTGTCTTAATGTCATCATCAATAAGTGACATTATATTTATAATGAATTCTTGGTTGTCTTAAAATACAATGTATTGGTGCCTTAAAATACCTTATGAAAGGTATGGACTTCCCATAAAGGTATAAAATATCACCAAACATCATCATACAAAAAATGAGTACTCAAAAAGAATCAACAAAAGGTTTGCTTAGGTTTCATCATCAATAAGTGATATATTTTATAATGAAATAATTGTTGTATCGCAATACACCGTTTTACAGGTGTCACCAACATTCAATCTACTGTAGCCCACCCCACCATTGATTTCAATATAGGCATTTCATTATGATGACTATGTAAATTGTTGAAACGTTGTGTGTAATTAATTCCAGTAGTAGTATAACATATATTGCTTTTCTTTTCTTTCATGTGATCTCTTTCTTCCCCTTCATGTCATTAAGGTATTAAATTACAAATATGATATTATCTGTCAAGCTTTGGCTATATCCAAACAAATACATGTTTCACCTGTATAGCCTTTTTAACTCCTAGCATTTTTACCTGTATAGTGTTTCCTGACATGTCAAGCTAAAGGACAGTTTAGATACTGTTTTTTTGTTATTTTTAATTTTAATCTTTGATGCTTAACAAGGAAAATAAGAAAAAAGTAGCTTTTGATCTGCTTCTACTTGTGCAGAATTGATTTCCTTTTCCATTAAATTACTTTACAAAGTAAAAGAGGTTGTTTTGCACAAAGCTTTTAATGGTTTTCACGGTAAATTCCTTTTATCTGTAAAGTTGATATATATATTTTTTACAAGACTAATAATGCCTCATACTTTAATACTGTATGGTGAATACCTGTAAAATATGGAATATTTCCCTTCATTTATTGGATTGAAAATCAGAAAGGTGTAAATAGAATTCACAACAGAAAAGGGGTAAATGAAGTGTAGATTCTAACGAGGTCTAACTGCTAGGCTATGTACCAAGACAACAATACCTAAATAGTAGTTAGACCGAGTCAGTTGAGTAAATAATTCCCCACCAGGAAGTGATTATAGTGTTTTCAATGCCAGTTCTTTCCTTCTATGAACAATATGTTACTATACACTCTCCTCTTGTATAATAATAATACACAATACAACTTTATTTCAATACAGAATAATTTAGACTGACATAGTTTTTGGCTCAGGGTAGGGGTTCATTTATGTGCTTAATTTTGAAATATGGAGAACAAAATCTGAGAGAAACATTATTTTGAAATTGGGAATGTTTAAATAATAAGTAAATAATTGTGCACTTTAATCAAGACACAATGATTTATCCTCAGTCACACTTGTATATAAAATGTTGCTTTGGACATTGTCACTGAGAAGAAATTTTGAAGAGTATCTGTGCGCATTGTAATATTAAAACAAAGACAGGCTTTAAAGTGAAACATTTTTATACGCCCACATGGAAATGTTTGAAATTATTAAGCAACTAAAAATTTTATCATTTCTGACAGCTGGTAGTAGGTGTAAGGTGTATCTTTGTCTTATAAAAAAAATCCGTAAAAGCAAGACAATTCCATTCATCAAAATCTCATCCAAGTATGGTAAAATGGAGAGCAAAAGTTGTATAGTAGTGGACTCCATAAAAAAAAGTACCATCAGGTGTTACGAAAAGAGTAAATCTACTCTGCTCTCGACACGCGCCACTACAATACAGGTCAATATCTTGAGATACAATCAGATCAATTTATGCCTGACCCAACAAATCAGCATGACTACTTCAGCATGTGTTTGGTGACTAGAGAAACTCTCTTATTTGATCTGAATTTTTTAGATGTTGATCTTTGTGTGGGCGTCTATGGTTAGGTAGTTTATATTGAGCTTACTCTTCAGGCAACTGATTCTATTCTTTGTTTATAGTTTTGTATTAAAGCACAGATGATGCCTAATAATTTTTGTGTTGATGAGACAATATTTCATTATTTACCAGCCTTGAACATATTGCAAAAATAATTTATGGACTAGTACTGTTAATGTAGTCATATTAGTAATTATATCACATGTATTATCGAAAATATCAGATTATTATTAGTTTACTTAAGCCATTTTGGACGCCATTTTGGATTCCATACCCTTAGAATGTTCAGAAAAATATCAACCTTTTTACACGCCCCTGTGGAAATGTTGCCGCCAACCCGGTCTGTCCGTTCACATTTCTTGTATGCACGATACAGACTACTTGGCATACCTTGCCTGGCAAGCTGTCTTTTTTTTTTAAAGTTTATGATGCTTTCTTTCAGGATCAAGAGAGTTTTTGCTTTTAGCAAAAGAAATATCCGAATCTTTATTTTATTACAAATATTGGGTATCGGTAGGCTACTGCTTCTGTTCTGTAAACAGTCCTGATTGCCCACTGCACAGTGTTGTATATCTTCATCTCATATTCCTAGAATGATTATATTTTAATTATCATTATATATATAATCACTTATATCATATTTACCTATCAGCACTCTATTAGTTGACCAATATTTTGTTTATCTTATTTCATAACCTAATTTGTTATCTTTTTAAGGGATGAAACTAGCTTTGCCTTCTTCCATCTTCCACATCCCCTCACTCGATCTATTTTCCCCATGCATTGACAGGAAATATTTCACCGATTACACACAGAAGCCTGAAATTCCAACTTTTCTCTAATTTTTGTGATCTTTTAAATCTGGGCTTTGTCACTATTTTCTTTTCCACCAAAAGTCTTACAATAAAAAGTTCTCCCTTTCTTTCAATTTTGTTTCATATTCTTCTTTTATATAAAAGAAAATATACAGAAGTTCATATGAGAACGAATAGCTTTGAAAAAATGAATATCAGTATAAAATCTTAGTGTTTCTAGTAAGTAGGCTAGATATCGACAAACCCCATGTAGTGCAAACTACTTAACAACAAAATTGTTTGTATGCACATTTTCAATTTAATTTGTTTTGGCATGTAAATGTTCATATCATTTAGCGCCCTTAAAGGCCCCTTTCTACCTGTCCAGTAAATGTACATACAGAAAACAATTTTTAAGTGCAGATATATCATTATGGTCTTTACAATAATAAAATATTTTCACTCTTAATATAATGCTTAATACATCAATTGTAGAGCGATATAGAAATACCACTGTTAAAATAGTGCTAAATACACCAATTGTAGAGCTATGTAGAAATATTCACTGTTAAAATAGTGCTCAATACATCAATTGTAGAGTGATATAGAAATACCACTGTTAAAATAGTACTCAATACATCAATTGTAGAGCAATATAGAAATACCACTGTTAAAATAGTACTCAATACATCAATTGTAGAGTGATATAGAAATATTCACTGTTAAAATAGTACTCAATACATCAATTGTAGAGTGATATAGAAATATTCACTGTTAAAATAGTGATCAATACATAAATTGTAGAGTGATATAGAAATACCACTGTTAAAATAGTACTCAATACATCAATTGTAGAGTGATATAGAAATATTCACTGTTAAAATAGTGCTCAATACATCAATTGTAGAGTGATATAGAAATACCACTGTTAAAATAGTACTCAATACATCAATTGTAGAGCAATATAGAAATACCACTGTTAAAATAGTACTCAATACATCAATTGTAGAGTGATATAGAAATATTCACTGTTAAAATAGTGCTCAATACAACTATTATAGAGCTATATAGATACATCATTATGGTTTTTACATTGAAAACAGAGAAAGTTTGTCTTGTTTCCGATACTTAAAAAATATAAAGAGATCAGAACAACTAGTGTCTGTTAGTACAATGAGTTGATTCAGCATATATATATTATATTTCTATAATTAAAATATAATATTACTGTTTGTAAGCCAAGGTTTATGTCTGAAACAAATTCCAAACCAGATCATTTGTCTTATGTTTAATAATTAATTAAGTCAAACAACATCTCAACTTAATGTTATTAAAAGTTCAGTTAGTCAAAGGAATTCAGAAGAATATTCTAGCTTTTGTATGTGTATCAGCTACTATTTGCAGTATTTCCCTCTCAATCATTTGTGGGTGTTTTTATATCAGATTATGACATATACCAAATATACAAAATATTTAAGTTAAATGGTTTAGTTTTTGAAAAGCAGGAATCACCAGCCTCTTTACACACGGTAGCTATGAGGCATTTAAGTGGTTCCAGGATGGGCCAGAATGGGAACTGTTCTCAAACTCTTGCCTTTTTGCATTACACAAAATGACTACTTTTGTTCTGAAAACTGTCCTGAGAACTGAGAATTTTTTTAAGATGTTGAAAGAATAACAGACTGATGAAGGAGGGTACAAATTATTGTTAGTCTCCCCAATAAACATACAAAAAGAGTATGATTTATGTTTGTTACTACTCAAGAAACTACTTGAATTACAACTGTAAGTGACCGCAATACACATACAAAGATTGATAAACAATTGTGATCTATGTTTGTTATTACTGTAAGAACTACTGTTTAAGTATGATGTAGATCTGATATTAATTACCAGTCAGTAACAAGTTCGTTAATTAGAAATCTTGAGTATTAATAACATCAAGTGTTACCCAATGTATAAATAGATTCCTAATTACCAAGTACTTTTACTACTGATCTACTTCCAGCAGGTTGTGAAACCACACACCAGTATTTGGCAGAGAAAGAAACGCTAGGATGTCAATTTGGGATGTAATTGTCAAAGATGACCCATTAGACCTATAGATTATGCTTACTTTTTTTTTATTCCTATCTGGCATAAGCTCATTGCTAATTCACCATCTAGAACGTGCTGACTCCTTTGTTACCATTTAGATAATGCTATTAAACTTATATTATTTGCAAACAAAGAGTACATCTGAGTTTCAATAGAAATTGATTAATATCTCAGAATTATCATCCAAAAATAGAAACTTTAGCTGGATTATTATTGGATTTATTTTTCCATTATTATTCTTTCAGTTTAACAGAATAGAAACACAGCTTTTATCAGAAAATTCTATTTTCCAACAATATTTCAGATCTTAATTCAATTGTCTCCTGTATTCATTCTATTATCACGTTTTTTATTTTGTTTTGAAATTTCATAAATGTTGTTGAAAGGAATGGATTGAGTGCATTCAGGTAAAATATAGTCCAAAATATGGAACATTATCAAAAAACAATTTTTTACTGAAAGTTGTCTGTTGTTTTTTTCGAAAACATTTGTTAGAAAGACTTCCTGCCATTGTAAGTGTGCCTTTCAAATTTCATATTTGTGGTTCTGTATTAGATTTGTTATCTTATTTGGAAATTCCACTCATGCCACATCTACATACTGTATATATTGATATAATTCATACAAGTCCTTCAAAATTGTTGTGCTTTGTTGTCTGCAGGAGAATTGGATGAGGTAGTTACATATCATCTTGTTGGATTGAGGCTTTAGGGTTTGAGCAAGAAACAATGAAATCAGAAATAGAGCAGCAAAGTTAATTAAGAGATTTATTAATTAGGCTAACGAAATGAGAGATCAACACTTTAAAGAGGACATCCAAGATTCAAGAACGTTGATCTTTCACGAATATTTCATATGATGTAATCTTCTAGAAGGTAATAACAAATCGGTTTTGAAATTTAGTCATATAAAGCCATCAAATTTCTGAATAGTATATATCCGTATGTGTTTAAAAATATGACTTTTTTATCATTGTTCAAGTTTTGTTTTAGATGATTAAGATATTAGTTTCATAACTTTGATTTCATTGACATTTCTGGACCATTGTATGTTGAATGATGTAATTGTTCATATCTTTTGTTACTAAAAGTTGTGCTAATATTTAGTATTAAATAAACATCAGATTTCTGGACAACATGAGAATTTCTAACACTCCTTGTGAGTATTGTCCCTGAAATTGGGTGCAGTCTACTAGTTAGAAAGCAGTTTCTCTTTTGTTTACTGAAAAGATTTCACCAACAAGCGTATCTCACCAAGGACATAGAATTCAGATTTTAGAAAAATATTCAAAAGGAAAGAAAACGCAGAAAATCCTAAGTGAATTTATTTCTTTTTTTGTTAAAATCTAATTTAATGGATTGTTATTTTATGAATTAAGATGAAAATTTAATTCTACTGTAAATCAATATAATGATGTAATAAGCAGTTTTATTTTGCTAATCAGATTTTAATTCTATTGTATCTTCTTGTAACTTTTCCAATCTGATTAAAATGCAGCTCATAAAATTGCTTTTTCATTATTTTAATACATTTTGTGTCAAATGATAGCAAGCATGTGTGAAGTCAGATCAAGCAATTAGATGAGAACACTCTTCAATTAGAATGATGTGCATACAGTCAAAATGAAATGAATTTTTTTGCTTGACCTATTATATGTCAGTCTTGTTAAGCAGTGGATAGACGAGGTACGGTGTCCAGCGTGGTGTATTGAGCAAAATTAAATAGAAGGAGTGAATAGACCAGATACGAGTCCTGACACAATGTGGACACAATCCAATCATATTTTACTATTTTCTACTGTATCATTATTTCTGCATCATCTATTCAGGCTTTAGTGATGTCAAATTTGTCTGAAATTAGGGAAACCAAAGATGTCAGACAAGAAATTGTAATAGTTTCAATAGAGACTTTAAATGATGTGCATGTAGTCTAAATGAACTGAAAAGAAATAAGTTTTTTTTTCTGTATGTCAAGTTACTATTCAGTTTTGTAAGTGATTCCCTAAATTTGTCTGAAATGAGTTGAACACACAGCGTAGGAGAAGAAATTGGAAAACTTGCTTTGAATTCCTTTAACATAACTTTCCTTTCGCCCAGTATAGTCTTTAATATTGACTAGTAACAGCTCCAGGTTTAGCTGATTTAAATGTATGTTTGGATAATATTATGAAACCTATTAAGAATGTCACTGACTGTAGAGCTGTGACTGTGGAAGTTGACAAGAACTCCCAACAGACAATCCATAAATATTTAAACTAAGAATTTTATTTTCACATTTTATTTATTTAATATTAATTTTATTTGCGTTGTTTTGTTCAGTAAAAAGTCAATATAATTTCTATTAATTCATAGTTTTTGTGACTTTAATACATTAATAATATCTTACAAACAGAACTTTTTCCTCTCCTTCAGAAAAATATAATGGATAAGGCAAACTAGTGCACTTAGTTTTTTAAAGATAGGTTAATTATAGAATTATTCTATCATCATCTTTTTGTAGAAGAATTCTATGATAAGGTCACAAACACTGTAAAGAAAGGATGCTTGGTGTTTATCAAGTCTTTATGAAAGTATAAAATAAAAACTCTATAAAATTAAAGGTAATATTTTTGAGCATTTTAAACGTACAGCAGTGGCATTAAGCCTTTTAGTTTTTATGACAAAATTTTGTAATTTTTTGTTCAGTGTGCAGCTTGATTTTTCAACATTTGAAAAGTTTTGATAGCAAAAATTGATTATTTTTTATTTTGTCTGTTTGCTGTGTTATGTCAAAAACATTTGTGATTGGTCTCACAATGCTAGACCATTTAAATGGTGTAAGCTTGAGATTTATAGAATCATTTGTTCCAATATCTAATAATTTTTAATGAAGATTTTTTCAATCATCTTTTAAATTTTCGTAAAATTGCAGTATTTTCTCTGTTATTATTTAAATACGTTTTGGAATTTGGT